CGGGGCCGGCGGGCGGGACGATGGCGCTGTGTTCAGACCCAGGCCAAAGCCGAGGGGGAGCCCGGTGCAAACCGTCCAGATGGGCACAGGGTCGGGGCTGGCAGGGGCCACATCTAGTCCCGCCTTAGCTATAGCATCCTAAACCCGAGTCTTCAAACCCTCCCACGATGTAGCTGCCACCACCTCTTGGGGTAGCCTGTCACAGTGCTTCCCTGCCCTGCTGTGTATGCTACACTACACTACCGCTGCGTGCGGGGCTTGTGATCACCGCATCTAATCATCTCTGACCTCATCTTACTCTCTAACCTAAACTTCCCTTGCTGCAACCTGAGACGGATGCTCCTTGTCCTGTCACCTGCCACCACTGAGAACAAGTCCAGCTCCATCCTCTTTCGATCCTCCCTCCAGGGAGTTGGAGGCTGCTATTAAATCCCTCCTCAGTCTTCTCTTCTGCAGACTAGATAAGCCTGGTTCCCTCAGCCGCTCCTTGGAAGTCCCGTGCCCCAAACCCCCGAACCATTTTCCCTGCCCTCTGCTGGACTCTCCCCAATTTGTCCACATCCTTTCTGTACAGAGGGCCCAGAACTGGACCCGTTATTGCAGGTGTGGCCTCACGAGTGCCAAATAGAGGGGAATAATCACTCTCCCAGTAATATTTAGCCTCATCATTATAGTTCAATGTGCATCTCTTCAGATTTATAAAGCAAAACTTGATCTTCCAGAGCATCTGGACACTACTACTACTTCACTGTCTGTCATTTCTACATCTGACTTAATGCGGCTGCACCTATGTTAAGGTTTTTAGGTACAGATAAAAACAACCTGCAGGGCAGAGAAATGGAAGAGACACACTACCAGGAATGACGAACAGACAACAACATTGTCAAAGGGGTAGTCTGAATGTGAAAAATCAAGATCCGGATAGGGGGTGGTTAACACCTGTGGTGTGGAAAGAGAACAACAGGATAAGGAGCCAGGAAGTCAACTGGCTCTCAGCACTACCTGAATAGAAACGCTGCTGCCCCTCCCAAGCAGCTGCTTCTAAAGTTTGGGTGGAGCAGGTATCAAAGGGGTCAAACCTCACCATTAAACCCCACTGGATCTGCCCCTGTCCATCGTGTTTAGCACAGTGAGGCCATGATCACAGGTTGAGACCTTTTGGGCACAATCATCCTATAGATGATTAACAGCAGCAACATTCGTCCGGTACAGAGCCTTGCAAGGCACTTTAGGCATTTATAGATGTGCTGGGAGAGAAGAGGCGCTTTAATCAGAGCGGCTCGCAGAGTGTCACGTGTATCAGCATCCGTGCACTGTAGTATGGTGGCGGGGTGTTTTAACTAAAGTTTGTCCAACAAGCTTTAGTTAAAGTGCCCCTGCTGCTGTTTTTCAGTGCAGGGACACTGTTACATGTGATGGTGGATCTGCTGGAGCTCAGCAATTTACCGTGCACCAGTGAGCACGTTGCAGCAGCCTCCCTACATGTGTATAGGAAGAATTTAAGACCTTTTGGAATAAAAGGCAAGATGAGATGTTTGTGCAATGGCATGTCTTTGTTTCCTTGACAGGGCAGATGAATCTGCTAAGTCTCTAATACAAAAATAAGTTATTTGCATGCAGGTTGGTTAGATCAAGGTGATAAAGCGGAACTCACCTGGGACTAAGTCCTGGCTGGAAAATCCAGACTTCACAATCCCTTCTCTTTACTGTGATTTTCTTTTTGAAAAGGAAAGAGATGTGCAGTTAGAAAACTATCCCTGCCTGCAGAGGCCTTTACCTGATTGGTTTCCACAACCTCTCTGGGGCTTTCTGTGTTCTCCTTCTCTTCATCCAGGGAGTTTGAATAGCGAAACATCAAGACCATTAAAAAGGAGAAAGGGGGTCATTAAGGGATCCAGGTTTTCTGTTTCCCATGGAAAAACAG